GGGCCTGGGGCTGAGCTTCAGCATGGGGGAGGCCCCCGGCGAGGCGGAGGAGGAGGCGGCCACGGCCGAAGCCGTGCGGCGCCTGGCGGCGACACTGTGGCTGCGGCTTCGTGGATGGGAGGCGGTGCTGGCCGCGGCGCAGCGCCTGCTGGTATGGGAGAAGCCGCTGCACAGCCTGGTCACGGCGGCCGCACTCAACGGCCTCTTCTGGTAACGGCCGCGGAGCAGGGGGCGGGGCCGGGAGCGTGGGGGCGGGGGGACCCGGAGTATCCGTCCCCTACCTGAGACGGGGAGGCTGTCACCAGGCCTAGAGGGGGTGACTCATCCCTGCAGTTTAGAAGCCTGGAGCCCGCCTGGGAGTCCCCATTGCCTTATCTCTGGGTCTCAGAGTCAAGCCTGGAGGTTCCCCTTCTCCCCTCCGTGGATGCTTTTCCCTCTTTTGCGATGGATCCAGAACCTGTCGTCCCTGCTCACCCGCTGAAGTCTCTCTCTTTGCCTAAGGTTGCTGTCGTCGTCTTCCCTGCGGCCCTTTTTCCTACTCAGCATCTCGCTTTTGGCATATCTTCTGCTGGATCTTTGGCATCCTCGCTTCCTCCTTGATGTCCCAGGTGAGTGTGTTTTATTTTTCAGCAAGCACTTGTTTTGCAATAATCTGTGCTGCGTCCTGCAGAATGGACAAAGTGTAGCAGAGCAGCTATGTCACGTGCACCATTCCCATCCAGTTAGGGAATAGGGAATTGCTTCTCTCCCTAAAGCCACATCACTCCCGGTGTGGCAGTTAACATTGTGGGCTCCGTAGCCACATTGCCTGGAGTCCATTCTCTGTTTACCACGTGTGTGATCTTAGATAAGTCACCCAATTGCTCTTTGCCTTAGTTTCCTTATGTGTAAAACAGAGACAGTAGAACCTGTTTGCAGGAAGTCAAAGGTTAAACGAGTTACTAAACGGGATTTATATTTAACGTTTTTGTAATAAAGAGTATATAAACTACTTCTGTTTCTATGCTAATTGCGTGTTTCCTTAATAATATTTTGGCTTTGGCCATATTGTTGGAGGCTGGAGAAAAGTACCATGCTGGGAAAGGAGGAGGGTCAGAGGAGGAGAGGAAGGACCTTGATACAATAATTGTTAACAGTGGGCTCAAGTGTATCAGAGATGGTGAAGATGCCACAAGATAGGGCAGGGTTCCAGTCTCTTTATCGTAGAGTGACTCTGAGTTATAGTCAACTAGGTGGCATCTAACAATAGGTACCATTTAGTGGATGAGTTGTTTGGGGTAGAAGTACAAATGAGATGTGTTCTCTTGTTTTTGAAGAAGAAAAATAAAATTTAAAGTAGGAGTCACAAGGTGTACTGACAACAATAACAGTGCAAACGTGATTGACAGCTGAAGAACTCAAGAGGAGGAGCAAGAGCAATTAATTCTATCTTAAGAAATGTTGGGGTTTTTTAAATTATTAATTTTAATGAACGTTTACAGAGATTTTGGATTTCCATTCATTCATTGTTGCACTTTTCCCACTGCCCCCCTCCCCCCGCCACCCAGTTCACTCTACTTTTTGAAAAGTAAAAGAACAATTCCTTCATTGGTATACAATCCTCCCCGCACCCCACCCCCACGCCGAGTATACTCCACTCTGCAACCTTAATTCTAGACGTTTTTGGTTGGTTTTGGTTGTTTTTTTTTTTTTTTTAAATGTTTCCCAGGACTCCATCCACGCAGTAACTTGTCGTTTTTCTCTCTATAGCATCAACCCCAGAGGAGCCGAACTCGGACAGGTGAGTGCAAGCCATTTCGTCAAGACATGCCCAGATCCTAATGTGCTTGCTGGTGCCGCTGTCACGGACATCAGTACTGTAGCGTCTGCAGGCACAGATCCCACCCAGCCTAGTGAACGGGCTGCTAGCAAGCCACTGATTTTTTACTGGGTTTGGGGTCCTCGATGGGGGTTTTAATGCCTACTCCACTTGGTGCAGAGGGCTTGCTGCTCTGGGCTTTGCCTCTCAGGACTGGGACATTTGATTGTTGGGAGTTGTGGTTTTCCACTTAGGCTAACAATATCATTGACATTCTCAGAGGGATTTGAGTGCCTAAAAAAAGCAGTGTCTGAGGCCTCTAGGGGTCATGTTGTGTCTCCCCAGTGAGGGTGCGGGGTCAGGCGCCCAGCCGCACCTGCTGAGCGTGCCCGAGTTGTGCAGATACCTGGCTGAGAGCTGGCTCACCTTCCAGATCCATCTACAGGAGCTGCTGCAGTACAAGAGGCAGAATCCAGCTCAGGTAACCAACCCCCCCGCCCCACTTTGCTGTACATAAGTTTCCTGTAGTGTGGGACTAGAGAGGGGTGTTGAGAATTTCTTGATTGAAGACCCAGAAAGAGGAGGCCTACTGCCTCAATGAGCCCACGTTCACAGTAAATAGCCGGGTGCAGGAGGCAGATTCAACCAGGAGAATGAGCTGCTGATGTTCTCATACTAACTCCTGCCAAGGCAGGAGCTTACTCGCAGCTATTCAGTGGCATTTACTGCAGACTTCCTAAATTGGAATTAGACTTGGATCAGAGGGTTTCCAGAGGGCCCACCCATCCTTAAAGAGCTCTGGCATCGTGCATTACGAGTTGGACTGCTCACATTAGCAGTTCACATTACATCAGCAGCACTGCAGGAGAGAAAGGAGGCAGACCGACCGCTGTAAAGATTTACTCTCTTGGAAGCCGGATGGAAGGTCGTTCTTGAGTCAGAACTGCCTCCCCAGCAGAGGGTAGTGGGTATGGCCGTCCTTCCACGACTGTGCAGGACTTCTTTACCCAAATGAGTAGGCCACATGCCTCAGTCTGCTGCTCTGATAGTCTCTGTTCTTCTCTGCAGTTCTGTGCTCGAGTCTGCTCTGGCTGTGCTGTGCTGGCTGTGCTGGGACACTATGTTCCAGGGATCATGATTTCTTACATTGTCTGTGAGTAAGGTCTAGACTTCGTTCTTCCCAAAGCCTGCTCCTTGTCTCCTTTCCCAGTTCCAACCCCAAGGGCAGATTGTGCTCTCCCTTTGTTAAGTTACCTGTTCCAGGCGTTCTTTAAGGAGACAGTAGTATTAGTAACAGGAAAGGTCGTCTGGGGAGGAGGGCAGCACAGCCTGGGAAATGGGCCTCATTGTCAGCCTGTCCTTCCTGGATAGGAAACTATCTGATGAGAGACATTAGGGCTTTGGAGCAGGGAATGCTGAGAACTCTCTAATCCACAGTGCTGAGTATCCTGCTCTGGCCCCTGGTGGTTTATCATGAGCTGATCCAGAGGATGTACACGCGCCTCGAGCCCTTGCTCATGCAGCTGGACTACAGCATGAAGGCGGAAGCGGATGCCCTGCATCACAAGCATGATAAGAAGAGTAAGGAACTCCCTTAGAAGGGCCAGAGTGGTGAAGGGCCCTGCCTTGTAGCTCATGATGCCACATCGTAGCTATGCTTGTCCCTCATCCCTATCCCGCTCCGTCACTGCTCTGATGCTCTCACCTTCTCTAGAACGACAGGGGAAGAACGGACCCCCCGGAGGTGACGAGCCACTGGCGGAGACAGAGAGTGAAAGCGAGGCAGAATTGGCTGGCTTCTCGCCGGTGGTAAGGCCCCAGGGCATGGAGATGTGGCACGCATCAGGCTGGCAGGAAGAATAGCTGTGCAGTGGACCTGCCACCTCTCAAGGGAGTGGAAGGCAGAGATGAGGAGGTGGGAGGTAGTAGCTCCTGGAAACTGGCTTCCCTGTCCCCTCACATGTGCTCGTCCTGGTCCTCCTGCAGGTGGATGTGAAGAAAACAGCCCTGGCTTTGGCCATTACAGACTCGGAGTTGTCAGATGAGGAGGCATCTATATTGGAAAGTGGTGGCTTCTCTGTATCCCGGGCCACAACTCCGCAGCTGACTGATGTCTCTGAGGGTACGGGGTGCCCTTTGCCCCCCTGATCTTCCTGTCCCCTCTTGTAGAACACTGGTTGTACTTTTTGATTTCAAAACTCATTTTCTCTGGGATTGAGGCTATTTTATTCTATCCCACCTGACAAACTACTTCACCACCAGGGCCTGGCCCAGCGGTCTGTGACTGGAGTTCTCCTTTGCAGCCGGCTGAGACCGATCACTGTACCAGGTCCCTTCCTGACTCTTGGTTGTTTTTTGTTTTTATTTTTTTTTTTTTTTAATTTTTATTTCTTTATTTATTTATTTATTTTGTGTGTGTACTGTCAAATTGGATCTGACTGGTACAGGAAGTGATTGTTCCTCCTCCTTCAGCAGAGCATCTGGTGGATTTGAACCACGCACCTCTGGGATTGCAGTGCAGTTTCCTGCCACTAGGCCACCAGAGCTCGCCCTGACTCTTTGTTTTCTGCACAGATTTGGACCAACAGAGTCTACCAAGTGAGCCAGAGGAGGCCCTGAGCCGGGAGCTGGGGGAGGGAGAGGAGGCAGAGCTGGCCCCCCCTGAAGAGCTGCTGGGCCCCTCAGAGACCCTCTCAAGGCAGGCCCTGGACTCTGAGGAGGAGGAGGAGGAAGAGACAGCCAAGGAGACTTTGCTTCGACTCTCCTCTCCCCTTCACTTTGTAAACACGCACTTCAACGGGGCAGGCTCCCCCACAGATGGAGTGAAGTGCCCCCCAGGGGGACCAGTGGAGACTCTGCTTCCAGAGGCAGTGAGTGGTGACCTGACTACTCTGCCCAGCTCCCTGTCACCCCCACTTGGCCTTGCTGTAAGTGACCCAGTCCCCTCCCCCTCCATGCTCCCACCTCTCCCCCAGGACTCACCCCAGCTCCTGCCTGCCCCTGAGGAAGAGGAGGCTCTTGCCACTGAGGACTTTGAGTTACTGGATCAGGGGGAACTGGAGCAGCTGAATGCAGAGCTGGGGTTGGAGCCAGAGACACCCCCAAAGCCCCCTGATGCTCCACCCCTGGAGCCCGACACCCCATCTCTGGTACAGTCAGACCAAGAGGCTCAGGCCCGGGCAGAACCATGAGCCACAGAGGAAGGAGCTGCAGGTGCAGTGGGGCTTCCTGGCTAGGGCTGTCGCTCTTCCCTCCTTCCCCTTCACGGGAGAGGCAGTGCACGGGCCATCTGGCTGTCCTGGCAACCAGTCCACCTGGTTTCTGCCTACTAGCCTGCCTGCTGGCTATCTCAGGCCTGATAGGGTACCGGGGCCTGGGATCAATTTTAAGTCTGTAAATAATTTTACATTTGGGTTAGTGGGTGTCAGCAAGGCTAGGGAATCCCTTCCTTTCTGTAGCCTGCACTTGCCTCCCTACCCTACCTTGTGCCCCAAGCCCCCAGTGGTTTGTCCCTTCCTTTAGCCTCTGATCCTCAGGGACCTTTGTTGCTCTGCCCTCATGTCCCACTTGGTGGTTTAGTCCAGGCACTTTATTGTTTATCTCCCATGTCATGCTCCCCTCTGCTTTATTTCCCTGCTATGTCCTATCCTTAGCAGTTCACCACCTGCTCTTTCCCATTCTTCTTCCCAGCAGGCACTGGCTAAGTTTTTGGGAGGCTCTTGGTCTGGAAGTAGAGACTAAACCTGGGTGGTAGGTCAACATTTGTGTCCCTGAACCACTAGCCAGTGTCTCCTCCACTGCACCATCACCCTTGTTTGTCCTGGTCTCTGATTACACAGCGGACAGGATCCCATCACATACGCACAGCACTGGGGCTGCCTAGCAGGATCTGTGATGAGGATATGGGGCTTGCTACATTCCAGGGAGGGACAAGAATTCCTGCTTCTCTGGGCTTTGGGTGTCCAGGTGTGGTGAGACACCCCCATCTCCCAGGGGGGTTAGGAAAATGGACAGTAACATCTGTGCAGGTGTCAGCAGAAAAATAAAGTGCTGATTGGCCAGAACTTCTCCTTGCCTGCCTGCTTGCCTGTGAGCGCCCCCAGTGCCCTACACTTTGCCCACCACCTCACCCGTGACTCCCTGACCCCAGTCTAAATCTCGATGGTTCATTTAATTTGGTGCAAAAGGAAACACAAAGAAAGGATTACCCAGACAAAAAAATTTTAACTTGGCTCTTGTTCCTGATGGTGTGATATGTTTAGTGAGATTTTGCATGTGTGAATAAAGCTAATGCAGGAGGAACTTGCCTGGTCTTCCCATCAGTAGGAATTTGAAGCTACAGCTGTTGTCTTCTGCCATGCTCCCTATAGACTATCTTAAGTCCAGCCTATCTATATGAACAGCTTGCTCAGCCCTGGTTTATCTGTGCTAACACGTAGCATGTGCACAGTAAGTGCTGAGCATTATTTTTAGGGGGCTCTGGTGGCCTAGTGGTAAGAATCTGCATTGCAATCCAGAAAGAATGCAGTTCAAATCCACCAGCTGCTCCATGGACAAAGGACTGGCAGTCTCCTCTCATGTGGTTAGACTCTGCATACCCACTGGAGGGCTAGTTATGGATGTGTCAGTTCTGACTCTTAAGGCACATGACAGCCTCAACAAGTCCCCCCTCACAGCTCTGTGTGCTACGATTTAATTCCTTGTTACAGACAACTTCTGAAGGTCACAAAGCCTAGTAAATGGTGGGACCAGACTTGAGACTCAAACCATTCTGGCTCAAGCAAACATTCTTGAGCAGTAAGCTGCCTTGTAATGGAATAGAAATCAAAAGGGGAGATAGTCTTGCAAGGACTTGGGAGTAGAGAACCAATCAGAAACCTTGATTTTATCAAGTGCCAACTCTTGACTGTTCTCCTCTCGGGAACAATAGCATTAGAAAAAAAACCCCAGAACTAGGGACCTCTGGTAGCCTAGTGGCAAGAAGCTGTGCTGCAACCTCAAAGGCGCACAGTTTGAGTCCGCCAAGTGCTCTGCTGGAGAAGGAGAGGCAATCTCCTGTGTCAGATCCTATTTGACAGTACACAATGGAAAAAAAGTTCAGAACTGAGCAGATGGCCTGAGTTCATGCCCTTCGCCTTCAGCTGGAGGTGCCATATGGCAGTGGCTGCTACCTGCTTTCTTGTGGCTGATGTCACATCTAAGTGTGGGAGAATTTTCTCGTTTTAAATTTGCCTTAGAGGCAACTTTTCAGAACTTCCCTGTGTCATTGAATGAACATGAGTTTTAGACATCTAAAGATTTCAGAAAGGAAAAACGGCAGAAAGACAATCCAAGAAAAAGAAAGCCCACTGGAAGGACAAGGATTGCCATATAAACTAGCTTTTTCCATTTTTTTGTGATTGTCGTAGCTGGAACTGAACGTTCAGAGATTAGAGGCCCTCCCGGGAAGAGTCATTCTTAACATTCCCCCTGATCAATTGATGGCTACATGTTTCCTTGTGCTGCTCACCCCCTTTCATTATCAGGTGTCCTAGCCATTTAAATGATAGAGAATATGAGTTTAGAAATGAGCAGAAATGGAAACCCTACAATTAAGTTTAAAAAGTTAACTAGAAATAATGGGCATTTATTTTTGAAGTGGGTGGAGTGCATTTTAGTTAGCTATAAATTAATACTGCGATAACTCATGGGTGCTCTTGAAGTTAATGTCATTTTATGCAGCATTTAATGGAAATTAAAACCAATACAAGGTAATACTGATAGTGTGCTGTGCACAGGTTGGAACACTATTGGAAGATGACTTGTGGCTGTGGACAGACTGAAAAATTGCAGCACCAGGAAAAAGCCCTAGGAGATAAAGACAGAACCACCATAGAACTGTTGAGGGCACTGAAAGTCTTTCATCCAGATAGAAGATGCTGAGTTGGGCCATGCCAAACTGCCTTCAGACATGTAAAGGGTGGTCAGTTGAATTTCAGAGGACAGAAATGAAATCTTTAGGTAGATGGTCTTTGCAATTACACATTATGCATCAGAGAGCTGGACAATAATCAAAGAGGACAGAAGAATTGATACCTTAAAGTTGTGGTGCTGGAGAGGAGTATTGAACATACCATGGACCACCAAGAGAAAAAATAGGTCTGTCCTGGCAAGGGTGAAGCCAAGCTGTTCCTTGGAGAAAAGGATTTTGAGGCTGTCTCACATTTTGGGCATATTGCCATGAAGGACCAGTCCTTGGAGAAGGATATCATACTTGGAAGGGTAGAGGGACAGGAGGGAAAGAGCCTGAATGAGATGGATTGGCACAGCGACTGGAGTAATGGGGGTAAATGTGTCAGAGACAGATTGGCCCAGGATACAGCAGGGTTCAGAGCTATTCTGCATAGGGTTGCGATGAATCATAGGTGACTGGACAACACATGATAATAGGGTTAGAGTTTTATTTTCTGGTCAGAATACATTGTGATATAAACTCATTAAAATAATCTTTAAATGACCATGTTGTTAGGTGCTAACAAGTCGAGTACAATTCTTAGTGACTATGAACAACTGAACTCTGTCCTATCCTGTGCCATCTTCACACTGCCTGACACTAGAGCCCATTGCGGTAGTCACTGTCAGTTCATCAGGTTAAGGGTCTTCCTCTCTTTCGGCAAGAGTAACATCATGCCTGGAAAGGTGGAGGGTTGGTGAAAGAGAAAGAAAGGTACAGAATTACTGAAGGATAGGAAGAGACCCTCAACGAGACGGATTAAACAGTGACTATCAACAATGGTCTTGAGCAGGAAAGGCCAAGTTCAAATGTGTTGTTCTGATGAGAACAAATGGTGTTGCAGTAGTTAACACATTAAGTGGTTTGAACTCACTGGCCATTCTGTGGGAGAAAGATGAGAGAGTCTACTTAGGGATGGGTTTACAGCCATTGCAGTACTGTGGGTTTTGTCTGTGTTGCACAGGGACACTATGAGGTAGAATCAAAATCAGGGACAGTTTGGATATCTGCCTACCTACCTATCTTTCTATCTAATTTTGTTTAGATTAGCCATTAACATGTATTATGTGGCTTGGACTGTATATGAACTTAGGAGCTCTGGTGGCCTAATGGTAAGAAGCTGCTCTGCCAACCCAAAGGCACACAGTTTGAATCCACCAGCTACTCCGCAGGAGAAAGAAGGTCAATGTCCTGAACGATCAGCTATGGGTTGGTTCCAACTTGACAGCCACAACAACATATTAACGTGGTTAAAATAATGACCACACTAAGAACTGGAAATCTCTGAGTAGCACAAAAGCTTATGTGCTTCCCTACTAACTGAAAGGTTAGTGGTTCAAACCATCCAGTGATGTCCTAGGAGAGAGGCCTGTCAAGCCTGCTTCTAAAAGTTTTGAAAATTCTGTGGAAAGTAGTTCTGGTTTGCAGTGCATGAGGTCACCAGGAGCTGAAATTGAACACAGTAATTGGTATTAATAACTAAAAAAAACATGTCTGAGCAATAATATCCATCAAATTAGTATATACCAGTCACAGAAATGAGTGTTTTGCATGTGTCATTTGCACCAAGGCACTTTGATGTGGTATCTCCTTCCCAGTTCTACAGGAGTAAATTGAACTTTAGTGACTCAGAATGATATAGCCAAAGACAAACAGTGTCCTAGCTGGGTTTTGTTCTAAAAATTATGAAAATAATCATTTTTAAAAATTATGCTAATGAGTCATTGTGAGTCAGAACCAACTCATAGCTGACCCTCCAGTGGGTTATCAGAGGCTGTAAAATTGCACGAGAGGAGACTGCCCATCTTTCTCCTGAAGAGCAGCTGATGGGTTTGAACCACATGCATTTGGGTTGGCAGCAGTTTCCTATCAAATAGGCCAGGAAAGCCCTCGAAAGGAGGTATGTTGTTTGCTATCAAGTTGGAGTGGACCCATAGTTGAGTACAACTCACAGTGACTGTATGAACAAAAGATCTGAACCCTGCTCTATCCTGTGCCATCTTCACACTTCTTGACACATTAAAGCCCATTGCAGCAGTCACTGTCATTCCACCTGGTTGAGGGTCGTCTTCTCTTTCACTGACTCTCCACCCTTCCCAGCATCATGTCCTCCTCCAAGGAATAGTCCCTCCTAGCAACATGCCCAGAGTAGGTGGGGCAAAGCCTCATCATTCTTGCCTCCGAAGAGCATTCCAGTTG